TATATATATATATATATATATAATGTTATGATTGAATAGAGTGGACAGCAATGTGCAATGTTAGAAGCAATCTCGAGAAATATGGGATTAGCTTGGTGTCACGGGCTAATCGGAAAGAATTAGCCAAAAAAATATTGCAATCTGACGATGAACAGCTGAGCGAAGACAATCGATCACAGACCAAGGCTGATAAAAGTTTGAAGCATCTGCAGGTAACCATACCATACAATTCGTACATTTTTTAACATTTTCGACAAAATATTATATTCGATACATATATAATATTCTTCTTTTTAGAAAGAGAAATTGGTTCAATCCCGGAAGAATACATGGAAGGAATATAAGAAGAAGTCTTCAAATAAGGTAATTTGAATAATTCATCAAGCAATATATTAGACCAGGAGTGCGGAATATTAAAATAAAATACTATTGTTTTTGTTTCTGTAGCGAGCAGTCGATTTTTCCGCGAGCGACTCAGATGACGAAATAAAATACATGTCCAGCAGTGAGCTGCGAAGCTCTTTGCAGAGAGAGAAAAGAAAATGTCAAAAACTAAAGTTGGAAAATAATGAGCTACGGAAGCTTCGGGCAGGTAATAAAATCTCGACTTTTTATTTATTATAAATTATATGAAAATTGAAAAAAAATTGTATCAATTGATAAATATTTATAAAAATATTGATAAAAATTTTATAAAAAAATTTTTAATAAATCCGTGATTTTTTTTCAGAAGATTTACTGCAAGACTTAACGAATATTGTTAATACAGCACAAGCCGATTTGCAAAATTTGTCAAACAGTATACACACTTTACTGCAAAATGTGGAAAAGCACAATACGAGATGGCCATCACTTACAAAACAAGAGGACTTAGACAACATCAACGACTTGTTACATATTACCAAGTTTGAGTCTAAATCCGATAATGATGAAAACTTTTTAACACTACTCGATACGGAGGACACGAGCAATAGTATTCAGGTTTGTGATCGTTTTCTAGCATTTCTGTTTATTTATTATTTATTTTATATTCTAAAATCTCCGATCTTACCCTTGTATCTTCTTTATATACCTATATATATATATATATATATATATATATTATCCTATCTAAAAAAGACCGCCCAGATAGCACACAGAGTCCAAAAGAATTCATTAGTATATTCAGTTTTATGTCATCAATTCTGAGTTCATTTTCAGGTGCAAAAAGAATCCCTTTTAGAAAAAGAATTCTTTTT